GCGCCTCAGCATGTATGTACCCCACGCCGGGGCTTGCTGCCAGATGGTCCCTCGTAACAAGCATGAGATGGGTGCGAATCGCCCTGTTCCACCTAGAGTCACGTCGCATGGTACAGTACATGTCCTCCTAAGCGATCCAGTGCCATGTGCAATTTTTCTGGTCTTTCGGTGGACAGCATGGTCAGCAGCATCAAATGCCAGTCATCTCGCGGTTCATCTGGTTGCCCAGCTCACCACAACAGCATCGAACCATGACTTCATTTGGCCACGAGCCAATGATCAGAGACAGGGCCACACGTCGAACGTGTTGATTCGAGCATTCGTTTTTCCCACTCGCAGCAGCACTAAAGTGGCCCTTCCGACTTCGGACAGGGTGGCACCTAATCCTTGGTGTCATCAGAGACCCCTGCTCCTACTAAGCCCTGCATGCTAATGAAATGCATCAAGACGCAATACTCCGTACTCCGTACCTTCGAGCCGCATTCAAATCCGGCTATTTCGATTGGCTATTCTGCCAAATAGAGCTGTCGGACCCTGGATACTGCTTCTTTTGTGGAACACAACCCCCGGCTAACTCGATGCACGCCGAGAACAGTTGCCACTGAGACTACTACTCGTATTGGGAAGAGCTACATATATTGCCTGGAATATCCTCGGGTTGAGAATTCGAGCTTTGATTATGCCATCTTTGATACAAGCCGGCCTCCGGGTGTCGGCCCATATTTCGCGGATTGTCGCCCTTTTGACAACGATGCGGCATTCTTAGCCCTTCATTCAAGTGTGGGTTCTATCATCATTTCAAGACGGACCGATGCAATGTTGCTTCAGGCGGTGAGATTGAGAGCATTCTATGTGTCGATGAAATTGACATCCTCGTCCCGACCGGGCATTTTGTCCTCTCTCTCCCGCTTCCCTTCAATCTCCCACAGCGTCTGCGCATCAAACAGAGTAACGTTGTCATTCACACTCCGATATTACGGTCAGTCCCATCCTAGTCCACATCGCCGATGATTGAAGCCACCCGAGAGAGCCAGTCATGGAAAGAAATACTAGTGATGTTCTTGTACACGGCAGCCATCGAGGCCGTCGACAAAACTGTCTTGGGTACAAGACTGGAACATAATTTGCATGCAGACTTTTGATCATGGCTTGTCCATGTTTCTTGACAACACAAGAACGCACATTTCGACGAAGAACGCGGGCAGCTGGTCGAATATTCCGCAAGAGACACCACAAGGATTCGCAATGGACTCGTTCTCGTGAGGATGAGGTGCATGGTCGGAATATGAGTCCCATGATATATCGACCCAGCGACCCTATTTGCTTATGCGACCACATAGTATAACTCCTGCAACGCGTATGTGGTTCGGCCTGGTCGCAATAGTCAAGCACTTTCAGAGTGGCAGCCACGATACCGCACCACATCTCAACTGTGGATGCTACTGTAAATAACATTCCATTTCATCTATGCTGCCTCTTGCGTAACACGAACTGCTCTGGTCAATCGGTTGTGTAAGGGCAGGCAAGCGCCAAGAAGAGTCGCCACGGGACGGAATAATATATCGCCGATACATTTTCGCGTGATATGCGCGTCAACTCGTCTTTCCCCAGATTGAAAACACCACACCGGACTCCTAACACACTGTCTGCCATTCCAACCTTGTAACATTATCGAGAATGTTTGTCGTATCCTCCTGAACTACAATGACCTAAAAGCGCCTTCCAGGTGGTTACCTCCCTTCCTCTTCCCACTTCCACAAAATCTCTGCCCTCGACAAGGTCCTCTTCACCATGAGCCTCTTCGGATCTTCGCAGCCAGCACAGACTGGCGGCCTCTTCTCCTTCAATAAGCCCCCTACCACCCAGCCGACAGCCACAACATCATTGTTCGGCGCGCCGCAGCAGACACAGCAGACACAGCAACAGAGTAGTCTTCCGAGCTTTAGCTTCAGCGCACCCAAGACCCAGGCGCAACAGACTGGAGGGTTGTTCGGTACATCAACCCAACCACAGGCAGCAGGTGCGACTTTTGGACAAGGTCAACAGCAAGCGCAGGGTCTCTTTGGCGCATCGCAGAATCCTCAACAGTCCGGAGGGCTCTTCGGTGCCTCACAAAATCAGCAGCAACCTGGTGGTTTATTCGGCGCGTCAACCCAACCTCAAACAGGAGGCAGCACGTTCGGGCAAGGGTTGCAGCAAGCGCAACAAGCAGCGCAGCCTTCCTTTGATCAAACGTTGCAATTTGGTCAGTCACGACAGGGACAACCCGGCGCACAATCACTATGGGAGGAGGGCCGCGGCATGAACACTTTCCGCTCAATACCCGTACAAATGAACATTGTAAAAAATAAGTGGGATCCAACGAGCTTATCATCTCCATTGCGGACGTACCTGTACCAACACGTCGAAAGCGAAACCGATGCATTGAAGTACCGACCAGGGCCCGGGGAAGACGAGGACAAGTGGGAAGAGGCGGTCTCACACCGACCCGGGCCAGACTGGGTTCCCTTGCTTGTGCAGGGCTTTTTTCAACTCGGCCGCAAGGCTCAGATACAAATGGAAGGCATTCAGAGATGCAACATGATGCTCCAAGAAATCAACACCTCCCTCGAAGTGCAACTAGACAGGCACCGCCAAAATGTTGCCACCCGTCTCGAGGAATGCAAGCGGAGGCAAGCAGTAGCAGCTCAACGGACACTGGCATTGGCAGTAAAAGTGCAGATCCTGCGTAACCGAGGCTATGTCATGGACAATGCTGAAGAAGAGCTGAAAGCTAAGCTGGAAAATCTGCAACGACAGGTCTTCGATCCTAGCTTAAACGCCCGAGAGCAGGAAATTTGGGCGAGGATGCTCGGGATCAGAGAGCGCGCAAAGAGATTGAAGATGGAGATGGACAAGATTGCGCCCACGGCTCATGCCAATGGAGAAGACTCTGGCTTGGACGAGGAGACGATCAGAGCTGCGAAGAAGGTGAGTGCGACTTCAGCAGGGGTCCTCTACCGACTCTATTTTCGTCACACAAAACCCTCGTTCCACGCGTTTTCAGAGCTGACCTTTATTTTTTTAGACACTAGAAGCGTACGAGATCCAGTTACGCCACTTGCAGAAGGAACTCGACCTGGTGCAGCAGGAGTTCGAAGAATGGGAAAAGATCTCCAGAGACAGAGAGAACGACTTACCTCGTCGCAGGTGAAACGTGCACGCAGATAGATCGCCAATGCAGGACTGCACAGAGCGGATGAAGAGGGAAGGACCGCGTGCTGTCGGTTCCGCGCGCAATCCTGCATCTTTGTGGGAGCAACACAAGAAAAAACAAGAAAGTTTTGCATAGCGACCCGGTAGTGATGATCTTGGTGTCATGGCTGGAGAGGATCTTTTGGCCTATGAATCCCAAGCCGCCGCTTGGCAGACAGGCGTGGTCGGCCTCAGGATCGCGCTGTGTAATGTACAAGATAATGTACAACGAAGAGCTGTATTCTCTTCAGATGGTCCCGGATGCCTCCTCTGAGCGAGAAACCTTTCGTCTCGACTCTTGACATGTCATTCCTCCCGTTGGCGAACATTGATTCCGGGTTGGCAACCGTCCTCACCCATCCGAATAGTTTGAGTCCGTAGCATGGCCGGAGAGGAGCTCAGAAAAGCTTGCTCGCCCACTCAACCACATGCGGTGCTAAACGTTCGCAGATTTGTGTCAGCCCATCTTTCCCTCAACGTGTATGTTCCCATTCGCCCGATCTTTTCCGCAAACACCAATCCATCGCAAAGTTAAGGGAGGTTAAGACGTACAGAACCACAATGCGACGCATGCCGCCGTGAAGATCTGCACCTCCACGGTGGCTCGTGCTTCGCCGTCGCGGATTTCCTTTTCGGAGAGCTGTTCACTTGCTATGAGAGCACACAGATATTAGCCCATCAGCCAGCAGTGTGTAGATTTCCCGATGGGAGAGGTTGAAAAGGTCACCTACGTCCGCCGAACATCGTGGTGATGTGAAAGGGTGCTAGCTTCGAGGCAAATCTACCGTCGCGGGCCGAGTGTCAAGTCTTTGTAGAATAGCGTGGCTGCGAAGCTTCGAGAGGATAGAACTAGTATGTACTGGTAGTCAACAGGTCAAGGACGTGGTTGCATGGCACTGTACGGAGTACAATATCCAGACTCGAGTTCCTCCGTATGTTCGCTTGATCTTCGGCGAAACGACGCCGAGTTTGAAACTCTGAGCAATGAAACTGGGACCAATCGTGCCATCACACTTTCATTGTTGCTTCTTTCCCTCGATAGCACGGTCCTTCGTGTCCTCGAGACACCGATTGAAGTCGACGACAATGTGTCTTCCAGCCAATAAACCCGTACACTTCGCCAAATTGCCCATGCTCTGTGCGCGCGTCATGCTTGACATGATATGAATACAGTTTACGAGGATTTAACCCATATTCGGTTCGAACCTATACCAGCGCGCCTATCAGCCATGTCTCTTTATGCTGTCGCTCTTATGCAAGACGTCCTTCCAAGGTCAAGCTGCAGGCATGGAGGAGTACTACTTCCATTGTCCCGTGCGTCGAGTAACTCTCAACATGTGCCACATATACGCGGCTCTCGTTTGCGACGATGCTGGAAGCGGGTGTCTGTCGACACCACTATGCAATGGTAGACTCTGCACGGACCGCAGTTCCCGCCGATCAAGACATGATCCTCCACGACTAGTGTCTTGATATCGAACTTGATCACAGGTAGCTGAACGTTGTCCTTTCGGATGTCCAATGATGACAATCATACGGAGCCGTGCAATGCGCTTCCTGCATTAAACGTGGGCACTGTTGAAATACTCTCGTTTGAGCTCATGAAGGTGGACAATCCGCTGCTGGGCGACTCCTATAGCATGACTGAGAACCATGATCTATGGTGTCCAACAACATCTACAAGAGACATTCCCTCGCCCTGCTCCCATCCCTTCTCTCAGGCTTGTTTTACGGTCTTCGCACCTGACGCCGTCTCTTTATGCACCATGCTCCAAAAGTTATACTCCGTCATCACGACTGGTCCTAGGGAAGCCATTCGCGGAAGGCGGATGGTAAGAGGGCCCGTTGAGAAGTCTGCCTCTCTTGAGGGACTATTGGCCATTCTCAACGATCGAGACAGAATCAACGACCAGCTTCGGAGCCAGCTGGCGGGCTTCGACAGGGAGGAGCTTGCCGAAGGCATCAGAAGCATCAAAAGGCTCTTGGACTGCTGTCTCATAGCAATGGCTTGGGCTATGTTCGCGTGCAACTATTTCGACCGGGTATGTCGTCTCAAGGCTCACTGCCAAAGACACAGAGCCGGACACTGACGTGATATCAGAGCTGTCTCGCCGCAGCAGAGCTCATGGGCCTACGTACTGACCTAAGCATGAACTCGAACGAGTACGGCCTGGCGATGATGCTCATGTTCATTGCATACGTTTTGGCTCAGGTGCCCTCAAATCTCTACCTGGCCAAAGGACGCCCTTCAATATACCTACCAACTGCAATGGTTCTTTGGGGCTCCGTTTGCACTTCTACCGCCTTTGTCAGAACGCCCGGAGCACTATACGCAGCTCGGTCACTCCTGGGCCTCTTGGAGGCACCCTTCAGCGTTGGGTGCCTCTTCTTAATCTCATCCTGGTACACGCGGACCGAGTTGGGTTTGCGGAGTGCAATACTGTTATCAGCACCTATGATGGCCAACGCATTCACTGGTGTCATTGCGTTCGGGATCCACGACTCCGTGGACGGGGCGTATGGTCTCGAGGGCTGGAGGTGGTTGTTCATTGTTGGTGGGTCCGTCACGATCATCATCGCCTGCATTGCGTTCTTCACTCTGCCAGACTATCCGCACAACACTCGGTGGCTTTATGAGGAAGAACGCGCCCTGGCTCAACTGCGACTGATTGCTGACCGCGGTGCTTCTGAATATGATGTGAGTCGAGTTGTCGGCCTCAAGATGGCATTCAACAGCTGGCAAGTATGGACGTTTGCGGGCATGTACTTCCTATTGGCAATCGGCGCGTCACTGCACAACTTTTTCCCTTCGGTTGTGCAGACCCTAGGCTTTTCGAGGAACACGACCTTGTGGATGACAGCTCCACCATACCTGCTTGCCGTGGTTGTTGCCATCTCCGCAGCTCTGTCCGCCGACCGACTTCGGAATGCCTCCTCCCACATCATTGGAACCACAGCATTGGCAATTGTCGGGTTCTTGATGTTTTTGCTCGAGCAGTCCACAGGTCGCCGAGACGTCTGGGCTCGGTATGCATCGACATTCCTGATGATAGCTGGGGCACATGCTGCCAATCCGATCGTGCTTGGTTGGGCACAAAAAACGGTTCGACAGCCGAGGGAGATGCGGGCGACCGCGATTGCGATCGTAAATACCTCAGGGACCATAGCACAGGTGAGCTAGGAATGGGGCTCCCTAATACTCAGACGCCCGGCGTTGTGCTGCCCTAGCGGGAATCATTACTGACGTACGTCCTCAATAGATCGCCACCTCTGAGCTTTACCCCAAGCGCTGGGCGCCACGCTACATTCAATCGATGTCGCTGAACACAGCATGTGCACTGGCAGCAGTCCTCCTGGCAATCTTCATGCGGGAAGCTTTACGACGTGCGAACAAGAAGCTTGACCTGGTGGGTAACGCTGTTGGTGGGGAAGCACAAACGCCAGGGCCATCGAACAATGAGCAGAGGCAGGGGGTCGTTAGTACATACAGATATGTCACTTGAGCTCTGCGATCCCTGTGCGCACAAGTGCACTCCTTGGCAACACGGTCTTTATGATATACGCGGGTATGGTAGACTCAATAATGGCCATGGGGCCTTCGACGCAACAAGCTGTAGCTCTGGGAGCAATCGACGTCCAGCGCACCAAATCACCCGGTACGCCACGTTATCACTGTGGCGGGTCCGCCCCTGGGCTGGGGCTACAGGCAACTGGTGTTTCACGTCCAGCAGACTACGGTATCCTGCGCACCTTTGCCGCTTGTTAAGGTTGCAAAGAAGAGACCGTCTAAGAGCGTCACTCCACGCTCTGCCGTACAAGTCACCAGATGCAGGTACCAATATGGCAGCTGAATAGGCCGTCGAACTCTTCTGCCCGAGAGAAGTGTGCGAGGACGCCTTATCCGCGTTGCAATACACTAGGGTATGGGCTTAAGCACCGCGAACCTATGGCAATTTCGGGCCCCCCAGTACATACACAGCCGAGTCCGATCACACCAATCGCTATACACACTCGCCCGATGCCCAGACGCTACTCAGGGGCTCATTTCGACGGGCGGCCCCCATTTTCTGGAGGGCGCTTAATGTTCACGGTCTGGGCCGCCTTCCACACAGCCGGATCTTTGGGCTCTGTCCAACATGTGCGAGGGCCAACATGCATTCATGCAACAGCTAGGTGGCTGGCCTGAAAGCTTGATCGTCAACGCATCGATGGGGTCCCGATTCATCAGCCCATGAAGCCCGGTCCATGGGCAAGTCGCGGCCCTAGCCACTCTCCGCGATCGCTGGCAGTCCTGCATTTCGGGCCTGCTCTGCAACGGTGAGTGCATGAAACGTGCCGCACATGGGGAACTCAAATCGAGCCTTCGAAGGCACGCTGACGATCTTCTCTTTTGTCTATGTTGTTCAGTGGTCCTTTTGACGTGGGTTGACAACATTGTACACCTTGTTCATCACCGTCCTTTCATCCTCGAGCTGTTCAACAACGCTCGTGACTGGCTGACATCACACACGTTTCCTATCCTTGAGATTACAACCGGCCCGACTGATTGCGGTGCACGATGTCCAACAAGAGCGCCACGTCGGCTGTGAATTCTCCCGATCCAGTCCGTGAATCGATGGCCACCTCGAGCGCAACCACGGAGAAATATCCAGCATCGTCTACAACGACGGGATACCAGAGCTATCCAGAGGTAGCGCCTATCATGACACAACCTCCACTTCAGCCCTTCCAGCAGCCGCACAACGGCTACACTCACCCTCAACAGTATCACGACCAGAACGGAGATCCACCGGAAGCAGGCCGATCAATACCTCAGACGCCAAAACGCAATCCCTGGGGTCTCTCACCTCTGGCTTTTGGCCTCTTGGTAGCGGCAGTCACCGCCGTGATAGTAGGCGCGGCAGTGGGCGGAGGCGTCGCGGGCGCCATGTCAGGCAATGACTCAAAGGCGTCAAAAAGGTGAGTGAGAATGAGAGAGAAGCCCACACTGTATCCAATCTGCCATGTCGTCGGAATGACAGCTCACTGATATACTATATCCCTGTACAGCAATGCGACCGCCACAGTGACCATCACAGCCACGTCGACCGCTACCGCCACCACGGCGATCGACATCTCCTCCCCCACCGACTCGGCCCTCCCGCTGCCCTCGTCGCTGGAAAATTACGTCGTCAGCGAACCCTACTACGTCTCCACGCTCTTTAATCCGGGATGCCCAGACTCCAACTCGCGCATCGACGTACAGTACGACACATCGTTCGACCTCTTCTGCGGCGTCGACATGCAGAACCACGTCGACGACGAAGCGAACCCGGACTTGCAGGTCGCGGACGTGAGCGGTCTGTTTGCCTACAGCATTACGGATTGTCTGTACGCCTGTGCCAACGCTATATACTTCAATGAGCAGTGGGGTGATGAGTTCGGAGGCTGTAAAGGTGTGACCTGGCAGTATCAAATGGCACAAAGCAATTCTTCGGATTTTGCCAACTGTTGGCTGAAGAACGGAACATCAACGGGCTTTCAATGCAATACGTGTATTTCGGCAAAGTTGGTGACCTGAACGGCGTACAGAGGGGGGTCGGGAAAGGCGAAGAGCCAGCACTGAACGGCATACAGGGGGTTGGGGGATTTGAACAGCCAGCAGTGAACAGCATGCACTGTAAAGCGTCAAGTTTTCGATTGCACGCTGCAGCGATTTCTAGGTTTCTTGGGACTTTCGCTCCGCATTTTGCACACGGCTGGAACAGGCAGAAGGGGAAGAGGGATGGAACCGGCGTCAAGGCGTACGACATGAGCAAGTAAGGCGCAGGTCTATCCTGTAGGTACGCCGGAATTCAATTCTGTTGGCGTCCGCGCCTTATCTTTTGAACACAAGAACAGGCAGATCTCCTTTGATAATTTCCCCCATTGCTCGCACACGTCTGCAGAGTCGTCGAAACGCAAGGCTCAGATTCCGTCTCTAGCAATCCCGGCCGGAGATCATTAGACTTTTAGGTCACGAAAGAACGTGCTGGCCACGTCGCGTAGCATATGCTAAGATTCCGTCGAAAACCGAGCAAGGGGGAGTTCGGGCCGCCTAGGTCGTCGTAGGGAAATGGAACTGAACGCTGTGGTTTGTGTCCAACTCGGACCTGCAACTCTGATCCGTCAGCCTCGGCCGGAGGAAACCAGCTCGATCATCTCTCCGTCACGAGAACCGTTGTGCTCGGTGAGATCCACGTTGCGGATGTACTGGGTAACAGAGTCTCGACTCTTCCTCTGAGCTAAGGATTATTGGTTTGTCCATTACGCTCCTGTACGGGTAAACGGCACCGGGATACAACTGTAGGGGGTGCCTGCTGGCCAGGAACCTCCGAGCCTGGTACCGAAGTTGGAGATCACAGAAGCGCAGGTGGTCGACGGCTGCGGTTATCTGGTGCAAAGATTGGATAGATTGAATTCATCAGGTGCTCGAGGTGGATGGAGACGCTTCCGAAATCTGTAGAGGGAGGTCTCCTCAGAACCGGCTCAGAGCTCAGTACCGGATTGGAGGCTTAATCTGCAGGTATGAACCGGATCAGAAATCAGCCATAGTCAAGAACGGCACAAGAGATGACCGAATGAAGAGTCTGATAGACTATGATTCGCAATCCAAAAGGGAGCATACAGACGTACTGTGGTAGTATACTGAGTACGGATTACTTTATCCGACAGTGAGCATCACCTGCCCACATGATTCAAGTACAGTCACGTGAAATTTGCCTCTGACTCGCGTGGACGTGAACTTCACTAAACTTCATGAATGTTGTCACTTGCCCGCTGCGACTTCCTGTTGCTCGCATTCCTACATTTCGTGTTGCTCAGATCCTCTCTCTTACCTGACCCGACTTCCTCCTCTACTCCGTGCGTTCCCAGAAATCATGGCAGACGACGAATTACAAAGCACTGCTGCGCCAAACCTTGATTCTGATGGCTACCCGGAGGAAGGTCCACCGCCCGATGCCGAAGGTCTTGACCGACCAGACGAACACGAAGACAAGCTCGACGACTTGAACGATCAATTTGATGATCCTGATAAGGAGCGCGAGCCCGACACACGTCCCGACGGGCCTGAGAATGACCTCGCAGCCGAATCCGATGATGAATCACTTCTTTCGGAAGTCGATGAAGCGCAGTTCGCAGATTTCGACCCGGGAGCCGTTGAGGTTGCACCTGACTTCGACGCGCTCAAGTCCATCAAGGTCAACAAGCGGAAGCGAGCTGAAGGCGAAGAACCGGCAGCGAAGAAGAAGAGAAAGGACAAGGAACGTAAACGGCCCAGTCGAAGAGCGGACAGTGAAGCCTTGTCTGGTGCTGATGGCGTCGATGGCAAGAAACCGAGGAAGTCGAGGGCTACAGGAGAACCCCGACAGCGCGTCGAGATCAACGAGGACGACCTGTCTCCAGAGGAGAGGAGAAGACGAGCACTGGACAGAGCAATGGATGCTGCAGTCAAGCGAACCCAGGGGAAGAGAATGAGGAAGGGTGATGGCATCGTGAGTCCTGCAAATACAGAATGCCAGAAAAGGCAGCTAACACGGTGCAGGATCTGGAACAGGCGGCAGACGCAGAGATTGAGGACTTGCGGAATCGCATGATCACAGCAGCCGAGACCGATGGAGAACTCGTTCGACAAGGCCAACCTGCGGCGCAAAAGCTGAAGATGCTTCCCGAAGTGGTCAGCCTGCTCAACCGAAACACCTATGTTCAATCTATCCTTGACCCCGAAATGAATCTTCTGGAAGCAGTGCGGTTCTTTTTGGAGCCTCTCACCGACGGCAGTCTTCCAGCATACAACATCCAACGCGAATTGTTCGCAGCTTTGGCAAAATTACCCATGAACAAAGACGCTCTGATCTCGTCTGGCATCGGCAAAGTCATCCTCTTCTACCGAAAATCCAAAAAGGCAGAACCGGCCATCAAACGACAAGCCACGAAACTCATGGAAGAGTGGTCAAGGCCCATCCTGGGCAAAACCGACGATCATACCAAGAAGTATGTTGCGACAGCACAATACGACCCTAACAAGGTGCGAGATGTTGCGTCTCAGCGACCTCTGGCTGTTCCGAAGGCCAAGATCAACAGAGCGCCTGGAGAGAGAGAGAGCAACAGGGCCAGAATCAATCACGTCCCAACGACTTACACTATTGCCCCGAAATCACATGTCATTGCTCATCGCTCGGGCCCATCTTAGGGAGTTGGGAGAAAGCTATCAAGGCAGAGCAAGCGTGCAGCACGGGCGCCCTGAAGCTTGGTATTGGCCGATCGAAAGGTGTCTCTAGTGGCAGACGAGGAGCCCCGAAAGGTCATCTGAATGTGCGTGGCGAAGAGCACATCTCATCTTGCATTAGTATCAGCTTGCCCAAGACATGCGGTGGACAGAGATGAGAATGGCGCTGAGCATTGCCGGGTTCCCCCAGCTCACAATTAGTTCTAAAGACATCAGTCCTTTGTCTGCATACTGTATGTTTTGCATTCAAGTCCCTCCCCTGCCAGATGTGATCGTCACAGCTCATTGCGTGGGACAGTTTTCTCACATTTAAAGTATTGTTGTTAAGGTTGCTGAATCGTCGACGAGCTACGTGGCATTCAGTTTCTCGCACGGACTCAGCGCACATTCACACCGCCGTATCCTCAACATATTGATCACTCTGTAATCTCGGCGCCGAGTTCCCTGTGTCATGTACTGAGTGGTCCACAGGACTGTGAAGAACAAGTGACAAAGGAATGCAGACCGACCTCGGTCTTCAATGACCTGCGCGCCTTGCATTGTGATATGACTCTCCATGACCAGCCTCCTTTTTCTTGTCTTGGAAGCTCTGTTTATAGGTAACAACCTGGCATAGTTCAGACTCAGTGGTGGTAGAGGGAATCCGTTACTACCTGGGAATTGATACGCCGCGCAGACTGGCAAACAACAGACAATCCCGGAGTAGCTTCCACGCAGTCCAAGATAGAGGCCGTTCAATAGCGCCCTACAAATATTAACGGTACGAGGGCCTTGTGGCTCCCAACCCATTCACTACGGCATCGCCCTTCATTCAAGCCAAGTTGTTCGAAATCGGAGCCGTGGTTTTTTTCGCGTCGACGCCAGAACAAGCAAGCGTTTGATGATGATACCATCTGCACTGGTCCATTACCACCGAACGGTCCTCTCCCTGAAAGAGTCTCCATATCTTCCACCGTCCAGTGCGTACCATTACGAGAGCCAGGCTTTGTCCCTCGTTCGAATGGACCAGAAGCAGGAGAGAAGCTCTTGTCATAGAAGCAGAGGTCTGAAGAGGAGCCAAGGGGATACTATATCTTTGCCGCAGGGCTCGCGTTGCGACCAGCGCGACGGTCCTGATGAGCAGCTGGAGACATCATGGTCACCGAGATATTACGGCCGCTGGCCTCGGGTGCTGCTCATGTCTGTCAACAGAAACAAGCCACAGATCTGTGGAAACGATGGAGAAAACGTGATCAAGAGACAGCGCGACGCCCATGCCACTGTCGCGGTCATTTTCCCTTTCAGGTACTCTATGCCGTCCAGGACATGCTGCCCGGGGACCGAGTTTCCCCGAACGATGAAACGACGTCTCCAGAAATTACTCAATTGCGTCGGATTTTGAAGTTGTCAGGCCACGATACTCGTACTTTCTAAGGGAATGTAAAGGCGGCGGCGTGGAGAGGCTTTTAAGTCTCCGAACGTTTTCCGGGCGACGCCGTGGAGAAAGCTAAACAGCGCAGTCGCCAGCAATTTAACTATTTTCCAAGCCCCTTCGGCGGTGTCCGGACGTTCGCCTGCCGCTCACCGCTGGCTCGCTCATTATGGCCACTTTGGGCAGTTTGCATGATTATTCCCACGAAACACCGGAGGCTTATTAGGTAAGGAATTCTTTGTGTACTGATTCGCACATAGCAGAGCCCGAATGGGAGCTCTAGATCGCTTCCATGGTTGGATGTTCACTCATTGGAGGACGCCACGATAGACGGACAATGTACGGAAGCCAGTCCCTTGCCATTTACCGACCTGATGTCATAGTGTGGTGTAGCTCGTCACAGCTCACGAGAGAAGTTGATTTCGTTGTCCTGTCCTGGCACCTCTCTCCTTCCAGCACATCGTCAGCGAGAAGCAACTCCAGTGCAAGCTTCTTGTCAGTGCAGGGAAAGACCCGGAGATCAAGTTTAACGGTCGTGCAGCATCAGTGAAAGGATCAGTCACTTCTTTCCAGAAACAAAATTGACGCAACGCAGGCTGACTGAAAAATTTCCCCACCAGCAGCCAGCTTATTCATTTACCAGAAGTCAATAGCAGCAACATCAAATCAGCATTTCTCCTCCGATTTGCTGGAATACGTACTGCAAGCTGCCGCAGGCCTCTAGCTCTACCAGGCAATCGAGCACACAGGGGTATATATCGTCCGTCACCTCGCTTGAAGCCCAGACTCGCTCTCTTCCAACAAGTTCACTTGAGCGTACAGCATACCCATCTGCCAAACCCCACCACGGTCAACCTTACACTTCGAACAAGAAGCTCGATAGTTGAACAACCGCAATCATGAAGCTTCTCACCAAGGAACAAGAAGAAGAACACTACCGCCAAACCCTTATCGGCGGCGCGATATACGGCGTGTCTGGGCTGGCAGTAGGCCTGGTTGGCGTCGTCGCCGCACACCGTCGCTTCCCATTCATCCGCAGCCTAACTCCTGCCCTCAAAGCTTTCCTTGTCACCTCGAGCGGAACATTTGCCGGCATCATCGGCGCAGACCATTACTCCCGCGCCTACGAAGCCTCCCAGAACCCTAAAGAAGTCGAGTTTCGAAAACGCCAATCCGAACAGGCAGTTAAAGATGCCGCGGGCAAGACGTTTACCGAGCGGGCCATGGAGTTCGGTCGGCGAGAACGATACAAGATTGTTGGCGGCAGTTGGGTGGCCTCGATAGCAGCCTCTTGGGTCCTCGTCAACCGGAACAAATACCTTACTGGCGCCCAGAAGATTGTGCAAGCAAGAGTGTACGCCCAGTTTCTGACAGTGGGTGTCTTGATAGCTACTGCGGCGTTCGAAATTGCGGACCAAAGAAAAGGAGAGGGAAGATACGAGACCGTCAGATACATTGACCCGAAAGATCCGGAGCATAAGCGCATGATCGAGAAGCAGGTTGAGAAAGATGCTCCCAGCCAAGGTTCAGGCAGCGGATCCGACGATCTCTGGAAGCAGATGGTCGAAGACGAGGAACAGCGATTGAAGGCCAGAGAGGAGCGTCACAAGCAATATGAGCAGGAACACCACAAGAAGCATAAGAATGGCAAGAACAGCAAGCAGCATGAAGGAGAGGAGAAGTGAACTGCGAGCTTCAATGGAAACCCAGCCAACGCCAACCGTCAAGACCAACGGTCTCAGCTGAACCCTTGACTTCTCACCTATTCCTGTGACACATTACAGCGGAAACTCATTGTTTTCAACACAAGTGCCGCCTCTTTGTACATTACCACCACGAACTGAGTCGACATCGAGTCTCTCAAGAAACGATCACACACTCGTACATAGCTTCCACGACTTCGAACCACCCGCAACTCTCCTTGATGACGGATTACGCAAGCCTTTGGACGGAGTATAGGAGTCTGTCTAACTGTGCATTGACGCACAAGACGGCGTTGGATGTGGGAAGCGAAACCTGCCTTTTTCTGCTATCGAGTTGCTGGAGCAGCCAAGCGGAAGTGTAGTCGTGCGATTAATATGAAGTCTTTTCATAGACAACGAAGACACAACCAACTACATAACCAGCCTAGTCACATCTTGACATCGGTGGTTGCAACAGGAAAAGGCCTTCGAGCTCCTGATCAACCTGGAGCTACCTTCTTGACCACATCGCCAGTTTACGTCGTCGTATCGTGGAGGTACAAGACGTGCTGAGATCTCGGAATATATTTAATCCGGTCCCGGAGCCATTCTCGTCTTGCACGCTCTTCTCACAGATCTCTCACTGGCGCTGATTCTCATCTCATCGCTTTCTTTAATCTTGCACGCATCTTGAGCCATGTACGGCTTATAATAATGAAAAGGTAGACGGTGGTATTATTTGTTGTGGATTTATAGATCACTTCCTTCTCTTCCCAAATGCCCTGCCACCTCGAGATTCAAAGCATTTTCACTCTTCCGTTACTTTGATCTTTCGCATTCCCTCCTCGGATCAAGCATTTCAATCATGCCCGGGATGTCTTTAATGAGACCGGCCCTCTCCACGGCCCTTTCTCGTCTACCCAGCGTATCCTCCCTCGCGTCATGGCGCACCCTCGCCCTCGTCTTCGCGCTCGTAAATCTCAAGGGGCTACCGCTCGCATGGCACATTCGGCTCTTCTACCGCATGTTTGAGAACTGGTACTCTCACGACCGTGTTCGGCACTCTCTTCAGCCACCACCATCCTCGAAATCGACCCATCCCCTCTTCGAGCCCGTCTCCATAAAGTCACATTCGCCCTTACTCGAGATCGACTATAACCTCCACAAATCCAACAGCACCTACTTTGCCGACCTGGACGAGTCGCGGACCTCATTAGTCTCGAAACTCCTTATCCCCGGTCTAAAACAGGGGAACATCAACCTTGAAAGGGAAGGGCATAGAGGTCCTCTCAATGTGATTTTGGGGAGCGTACACACCAGCTTTCACCGCGAGATCAAGCCGTATGAGAGATATGAAGTGAGAAGTAAGATTCTGGGTTGGGATAAGAAATGGATCATAATCGGCAGTTGGTTTGTTCGGCCTAGTAGGAGGGGGACCACAGAGACATTATTGGCGAGTGCTCTCAGTAAATACGTGGTCAAGAAGGGCAAATATACGGTCCCCCCGGAGAGGTGTTTTACGACGTCAGGCTGGTTACCGGCACGGCCGTCTTCAGCGGGCGTGTCTTCAGAGGAGCCGTCGGTTGCTCCTACGCCCCAGGAAGGATTGGTATCGACCATCCCAACTACTCTGGCTCCAGCGACGGATGGCCTCGTGGAGAAGTTGGAGAGCGCAGCAGGAGAAGAGTCTACTTCGGGTACGATGGATGGTGATTCAGACTGGTACCGTATCGAGAAGGAACGACTTCGAGGACTCCAGATAGCAGAGAACTGGCTGAACCTGGACAAGCAACTGATGGAGGAGTTTGCGAAAGCATAGCTTCCAGCAGCGGAACGAAGTGTTCGCCTATGACGTCTCGACAGTTGCCGAAGCACTGAACAGGAGTCACCCTTCTGAGCTTCACACTCAGTGGAGCGATGCAGACTCCTTGATCCTCTCCTGCAAAATGAAGCCGTAGGTGCAAGGGAATGGCGGCGTGAGAGCCACCCTTTGACCAGTTGGGTGACCGTCGATCGCACGGTCAGAAGCTCAGACAATGAGTCCCGGCCAAATCAATTGGTGGTGAGATCAACATGTTGGCTGGGTTGCTCAAAGTTCGAGACGAGTACTGTAGCTATCGGCCATTCACAGTACCGGCCATTTTCATTTCTTCGCTTCCGACATATGGAGCTACCAGTACTCCGCACATCGTTAGCATGGTTTCTTCATCAAGCACACCACCTAATTATTTGGTGGCCCTGTGAAGAGTACTCCGTAAATCCACGCACGGAGTCACGCCCAAAGAAGGCTTGGTTGCTCTTGACTTTTGCGGCGACCGCGCCTCATCTGGTGATCCAAGCAGACAGACGCCACTCCGCTGTCTGGCCTCCAGCCTGGCACTGGCCGGTTCAACTTAGGCTATCTCTAAGATACCTCGGGGAACGCGACGCGAACAGAGCTCCCCTTTCTCGTCCCATAAGAGAGCTATGCAGTGGCGATCGAATGGCTCCAGGAAGTTTGCCCAGGAGCGACCGAGGTGGTGTTTCACGATGCTCGTGCAGGCTGCATTCCTGACCATTCAAAGCCACACGTCGGATATTCACCGCATAGACTAACCGCCTCGGTCACTAGGCGACGTCGAGGTCCCTGCTCGGTACGCGGCTAACGATTGGCAGCAATTGACCTGACCGCATGTCACCCCTGAGAATCTGTGCGATCCTCTCCCTCCAGCCTCTCCTTCAGCTCCATGTTGCAGCCTCCTGGCGATCATCAGGAGGCCCGCCCAGAACGAGATCCTGACATGCGCCCAACCCCCCTGCGTCACTGGGTGACGGACAGAACCAAGCTTTCCTCGTATCCGCCTGCAGCCACGCCCCGATCTGCTTTGAACCAATCCCGCTTCCTCCAGCTTGTGCTTGACAGCTCCGCCCCGAGGCCCCGTATCTGTCAAGAATCCAGTTCCCAGATCCAGCTCCCAGCTCTGTGTCGAATCATGCCTGAGTACAGAGCTCTGTCTCGGAGAGCGCTCCAGCAGCTCTGAGAGCGACGGCAGTCTACACAGTACGAGTGGGCGGCGGTTCTGTGTCGCGGACCCCGATTCTGGACATATCACGTTGACCCGGTTGTCAAATGCGGACAATGGAGATATGTGCCAATAGAATACCAGTGTTTCAGAGGCCCCTTGCTCGCCACTAGCCAACAGGCATACCCGGGTATCGCTTGACGGCCAGGGAGGACGGTCGACCTCGATTGTTCAACATCTATATAGATGGCTTTGCCGTCTGCACCTCTCATCATGCTCGTCTCGAAGCTTCATCTCTTCTCATTCATTTTTCTCCCTCTCAGCGTGGCAGGCTAGTCCTAACATTCCTTTGTTACCCTGACGCTCTTTCTTCTGCCTGGTGCAGATCATTCATTCTCTTACAAGGACGACCGTGTCAGCGACCACTCCTTTGTTAGTGACAACAGGTATGAACATGATCTCTCCAAGTTATTCATCATGTGTCTCTCTTTGACTTTTCCAACCTTTCATTGTGGTTCGTTCAAACCATGTGGCCGGGAAAAAGTCACAATAGGTTTATTGTTTACCACCCCAGCCTTGTTGCGATTGTTCGCCGCACAATATTGGTCTTTACCACTGCCTCTCTTGTTTATGTGGTTAAAGATCAAGGGTCGGCCTCATTTGTTCGCAGTCGCAGCTGTGTCACTGCTTTGTGCAGAATTCTCTCTACTATTTAGGTCTCCTTCAATTTCACGTTGACCCATCCATTTCTGTCAACTGCCCATACACAACCTTTGCACCTGCGAAACTCAGATTTCGCCAAACTCAACCGCAAGCTCTGCTGACAAGAGTGTGCCAGTGCGATCCGGCTATTGCTCTGCCAACACATTCATTTTAAAACAACTTACAACCTCGCCCAGCTTCTCACTGCCCTGAGCAAATCACTCATCAGACAACATGACGGTGTTTTCGAAATCAGCTGCGTTTGCCATCACCGCCCTTCTGGCGGTGGCGGCAGATGCACACATGATCATGCGAACTCCTGTGCCATACGGCAAATCGACACTCAACAACTCCCCACTGGATGGTGGTGGTGCCGACTTTCCCTGCAAGCAGCGCCCTGGCGTCTACGATGCCGAGGGTGCCAGCAATGTTGCGGCCATCGGCGAACCCCAGACTCTCAGCTTCATCGGTGGTGCAACCCATGGTGGTGGATCGTGTCAAGTCGCCCTGAGTACCGATCTGCAACCTACCAAGCAATCGAAGTGGATGGTCATCAAGAGCATCATTGGTGGATGTCCTGATGCCTTTCCTGGCAATCTGAATGGCGATGCCAGCAGCACCGAGTCTGCGACATTCCAGTACACCATTCCCGAAGGCATCGCTCCCGGTGATTACACCATCGCCTGGACTTGGTTTAATCATATCGGAAACCGCGAGATGTACATGAATTGCGGGCCTATGACCGTCACCGCTGCGAAGAAGAAGCGATACGCACCTGCTCCCAAAGTCTCCAAGAGACAAGCCAGCTTTCCCGATATCTACGTGGCGAATATCGACAACAAACAGTGCCAGACACCCGAGAACGTGGACCTGATTTTCCCCAATCCTGGCGCCTACGTCCAAACCGCTGGAAGCGGCCCCTATGTCACAGCTACCTGCGACCTCGGGAACAACGCCAACAATGCTGAACAACCAACTGCATCCGTTCCTGCGGTTTCTGGGATCGCTACCAGTGCTGCTGTGCCCACTGACGCCCCTGCTTCCGCACCCACATCCGCACCTGGTTTCGCCTACGGCAGTTCTGGTCAACTTCCGCAAGCCACCGGCGGTGGTAACGATGGAAAATACTCCGCTGGTAGCCCTACCGCTGGTAGCTTCGCAAGTGGCGCAGTCTCGGTACCTAGTCCTGCTCCTGCTCCATCTTCCTCTGCTGACGGCCTCCAGGTCATTCCCACCTCAGTTGCCGCGGGCCTAGCCGCCACCCCTGCTGTTCCGGTTAGTCCCTCACAGACCGTGACCGTGCCGCGATACACTAACACTTCTGCCCCTCAGATCGCTCCTGGTAATGTTGCTGCACCGACTGGAACTGCTTCAGTCTCCACTGGTAGCTCTTCAGGCGTCTCCGCTGGGGCTGCAGGCCAGCTCACCGGTCCCTGCTCGAACGAGGGTGATTGGAACTGCATTGACGGCTCAAGTTTCCAGCGATGCGCGTCTGGATCGTGGAGCGCGACCATCCCACTGAGCGGCATGAAATGCACTCCTGGCGAGACTGGCAACAACAACTTCGCCATGACACCTGCAAAGGCCAAGCGGTTCGAAGCTTGAGCTCTACAGTATCACATCATCTCTGGATCACAATTGATCAGTCCACACTTGACATTACCAACCGATTAGCCGGTCTACATCAATCCGGCCGATCGCGATGTGATGACGGATTCGTGGCTCGCAAGTGACTGATGCTTCTCTCAAGGAGACGCGGACTATCCAACTTGTCCCGCTCCGTGCGAACGGCACGCCCTCGGCTTCGATGATCTCACGAGATCTAACATTCAATTCTACGGATCGAACGATCTTATGACAAAGATAGAGAGACCTTTGCATCAGCAACGGCGTTTCGGCTTCCACACTTTTGAAAAAAGGGTTCTTGCGGCGTCTTGAACCAGCACCCGAGCTAGAAAATTTCTAGCCATTTGGGAAAGGCTGTCTCAACACGATGATAGGTCGTAACTGGCAAAACTGGAGCGTTTTGGTCCCGCCCAAAAACACGCGGGGACTAGCAGACTGGAGCTGAGACAGGGTCAGATGAGATGTACCTGTACTCCATACCTGTACGAAAATGCTCGAAACAGACGATAGAGATAGAAAATGAATGAGAAAAGAAACGGTTGCGAAGCCAAGATTCGTTAATATTGTACTCTACTCAGTAGGACGAAGTCCTTGAACGTGACGTGACGTGAATCCATGTGAGGAGCTTCAGCCCACGAGTTCATGAACTGATGAACACGGATGATCACTTGAGAGGGATACGCTACATAGCAAGTACTGTAATCATCGACGAGCTCCATACACAAGCGTGTAGCTACAAAGCCGGTCTTTTTACCGCATCAGTTGCTTTGGGTGAGGTTGATCGCTACGACGGGAACAGGAGCTTGACCAAAGTCACGGAATGGGTCGCCCGAGGCGGGCAAATTGGCGCCACGCCCCGGTCCGAGGTGCTGACCTCCGGCATGAGACTGCCAGCGCCGGAATACATTGTATTTGACTTTGAGCGCATTTTGTGCGTCAATGTGACTAAAGCGTCCTTGACAGCGAAGCATCCGGCCAGGGTGATTGTCTCGGAGGGTACGACATGCGGTTGAGATGATGGCTCCATAAGGCACAGGCGGGTTCGATAGACCTGATCGCCTCAATATCCGGGGCACACCGCGAACTGGGTGAGTCTCATACCGATTCAGCATGGGGATTTTTGGGGGGGCCGAGGGGGGCCGGAGGAAATATCGGTACCGACGCCGCCACAAGCGCTGGCAGAAGTGGTGAAAATGTCGGGGATTCCATCCCTGAACGGGGCCACTCGGATACTACGTGCAGTCTGTCATTGTCGAAGCCATTGTCGGCCTTTTTTGGCGCGGTTCTTGCGGTTTGGCCGTGATTTTACAACAACGACCACAACTCCCGGCGAATGCGTGCGAGGTCGAAAGGTCACGCACGAGCGTTGGTAATCAGAGAGACCTGGCCGTATGATGCCGCGAGCGGGAGACATCAGTCTGGCCAGGGTGGATGAGGCTGGATATGTATGGCGAGGAGCTTCATTACCACGACCACATGGGAAGTGGCCCTGAAGGGTGCAATCCACTCATCTGTAGATTGCTTTGCGCGAGTTTCCTACGAGCATTGGCATTGTCGTAGGATATGTACAATTGGGTTGTTTGGCCCCTTGAGCTATTGTAACCATCACCTCTGTTCGAATGACTCTTTGCCAATACTCTCCGCCTCATGCTCGCCCTTGAGAATCGGAAATTGTCCCTGTACCTCTCCCTTCTGACTGGGACTGGTTGGCATCGGAATCTCATCTGGGTCGCCCGTTGGTGCAAGAGGGTATGAAGTCGAGGGCAGTGATTCGAGGTGCGCTTTGTTCTTTGTGTGGGCCTATCGCGACAATCGTTAGTGCTTCGTCCAGGCACAGAGATGTGGGCTCGTGTTTGTCTGATATATACTTACATATGGGAGACCGCAGTATGTGCACCAGCAGATTTGGGGTCTGTCCGTATTGATGAAGATTCTTGGATGTCCCAACGGTCCGCCGCCACCGTCACAGGCCACAATCTTCGTGTCGACCCACCGAACAGGTTGTTTGTGGATCAGCTCGATCGCAGCATAAGGTCGAGGCTGGACGGAACACTTTCAGCAAGGAGCCTCGCAAGGGCGGTCTTCGATTGTTCGTACCTGAGCCTCAATGATTGTCTGTTCAAATCTGGGTCCAGACATGGCCACCTCTCTGGGCATTTGATTGCGTGACCAGACATTCGCTCTATTGGGCGCCTGCAGCACTCTCGCCTTCTCTGCTACGTCTGGAAACTCTTGCAATGGCGCATCCCGGGCGCCACCCACACTGACTTCCAGTTCGTTTGTCTTGGACACATTCGGAGTTTCTTTTCGAGGGGTAGGGTCATTCGCTTGTTCGAAGTTCTCGCCAGTGCCGGGTCCTTGTCGCAGCCGAGAGGTGGATGTGCTGATCTGTCTTGTGCATAGCCGTGCGGTATGGTTGACCCGCGTCCTCAAGGCCGGGATGAGGGAAGCCATTGTCGCGGCAGAAGTCTACGCCGATTGAGATGTGTTTGATGTCGAAGGAGAGGTGATTGAAGCTCAATCGTCGGCCAATCGGAGAGCTTACTGCTCCGCAAGTGCAGAAGCTCACCGTAGACTTGCTATGGCGGAGCACACGGCCTTCTGGTCAAGGCACCACCGCGTTGCGTGTGTAGATGCGGTCGCCAATTCGACAAGCACCTCCAAACACCATTGCACTTCTTTGACCCTCAACTCCCCAAGGACAAGCTCACTGCGAGCAGAGCAACTCGAACTCTTGTGATCAATTCCAGCACCGTATATAAGCTTTCACCATGGCTTCAGGCTACGATCGTGCTCTTTCCGGTAAGTCATTTCAAGCTGGATAAATGCTCGCTGCTAACAGAGTCAGTCTTCAGGTAATACATCTACTCGCGCAATCGAATGCGGCTAATTGAACCAGCCCCGACGGCCACGTCTTTCAGGTCGAATATGCTCTTGAAGCAGTCAAGCGAGGAACATGCGCCGTGGGCGTAAAGGGCAAAGATATCGTGGTGCTGGGCTGTGAAAAGAGATCAGCCATGAAGCTACAAGACACCAGAATCACACCATCGAAGATCGGTCTCGTTGACTCTCACGTCTGTCTTGCCTTTGCCGGCCTCAACGCCGACGCTCGGATATTGATCGACAAGGCGCGAGTTGAGGCTCAGTCACACCGGTTGACAGTCGAGGACCCTGTCACCATCGAATACATCACGAAATACGTGGCCGGTGTCCAACAAAGATTCACGCAGAGCGGCGGTGTCAGACCGTTTGGGATCAGTACGCTCATCATTGGATTTGACAAAGGCGACAAGGAACCAAAGCTGTACCAGACCGAGCCCTCAGGCATTTACTCCGCTTGGTTTGTGTGATCCCCCTACTGAGTTAACGGCTACTGATCAGACGCAGGAAAGCAAACGCAATCGGTAGATCCAGCAAAACCGTCCGTGAATTTCTCGAACGGAATCACAAGGACGACATGGACCGAGAAGCAACCATTTCGTTGACCATCAAGTCACTGCTCGAAGTCGTCCAGACTGGTGCAAAGAATATTGAGATTGCCATCATGGCGCCTGGAAAGACCATCGAGATGCTCCCCTCAGATCAGATTGAGCAGTACGTCAAGACGATCGAAGCGGAGAAGCAGGAAGAGCAAGCAAAGAAGAAGCCCGGTGCTAGAGGCACCACGGCCTCTGCCACATCCTCGCTTCCCACGAGGCCCGGGCCCGAAGGTGAGGGTGGAGCCGACGAGTGAGCGATAGAGAGGGGTCTTGTATCATCACATGCATGAGCGACGGGAGTTCTGGCAATAGGTCAAAATCAGAATAAAGACGTCAAAGACACTTTTTAGCCCTCCCAGACCATCCACCTTCATGCAGCGCCTTGCGTAGACCATGATCGGCTAAGCGTTGAATCAAACCAGCCTCTCCGTGCCGCCCTTGATGTCGAATATCGTCTGCTGCTCGTCCTGTTTGATGCGATCGTCTTTGAGCATTCTGTGCCTGTTATTAGCGGCCCTTCAGCCACACGCTCCGTAAGCACCCACCTTGAATCCACCCTTGCGTCCTCGCCTTCAACCTTCAGGGCGGCCTTGGGAGTAAGCGCATCAATCACAAAGTGATTATCGCAATTGGGACAGTATTCGTCACTAGCCATTGTTCAACTCGATGCGAACCCAAGTCAAGGCCTGGCCGGGACTGGCAAAAGACCTACCTCTCATCCCAATCCTTCGTATTCTTCCGAAACGCCTTCCTACACTTCTTACATATAAAAGTCTGATCAACTGTCAGCCCTGTCGTTCTACGACTAGATGTCAATGTGCACGTTTGATGACATACCATATCAAAACTCTGCATAAGCGCGTGCGTTTCTTGTTCGGCGTGGCATTCCGCGCAGTCGAACCATTTTCGACCTGAAGGACACGGTCGTGTCAGAGAGTAGCAACCCAGCGTCAAGATAGTGGCACGCTTACAGCACGGCGATCGAATTGATACTTGCGCGTTTAGGATATGTTTGCTTTCTTCGGCGTCAGTCGCCAGTGTGAAGTGTCCATGAGGTTTTGGTCAAAACCTACCACATCTTTGCAGATGACAAGCAGCCAGATTGGCAGAGATTTTCCTAGTAATTATGCACGGGCGTCGAAAACTGCGGTCGTTGGTTGGAGGTGTGATTCGACCACGAAAGGGATTTGGTTCAATATCCCCTGTTCGTGGACGCCCTTAGAAAAGTCGCGTCGTGGCGAGTCATTTATCGAGATATGCGGGCCGTGGATGACTCGCGCTGGTTTGTCCTCGTTTCACTCTTCCTTTATGTGCGCTTCACCTTAATTTCTATGTAGGGTGTCTCATCCCATAATGATGAGCATTAACTGATGTGCTTTGTCTTAGCGTATCGCCTTTACGGAACTTTCGATCCCCTCTCAACGAAGTTGAAACCTACTGTAAATGGTTTCAACTTACCCGCATCACCACCTTCCTAGGGACATCTCGCCGTACTCAAGATGCACCTCACGACATGATTCCGAGCGAGGCGATGGTACATGCTTGTGCCCGAATGTATTATTCTCTGGAACTAGGCGCTCGAAACGACTTCCTCCGGCAACTGTGATACATCACAAGTCGCTCAACGGCTAGACGATCGGTTCTTGAGAGAAGTGTACTGTAACTGCTCTACGCCGCCGACCTAGAACAGATCCCCCGACTTCTTTGGCCTCTCGGGATGCAACCACAACATGGGGTCTTTCAAGTCTACCCATCCCAAGAAGGGCTTGCTCAATCCGTATCCCACCAATTCCTGCAAATTCTCCGGCAGTTCCCTGACCTTTTCAACGGGATTCACAAGATACTGATTTTCCTCCTGTCTCAGATACCCTCTCGTCATGAACGTACTGTACACCAATCGTTCCTCTTCTCTGATGACACCATCCTCACCGGGTTGGTTGGTCTTGTTTGCACTGCCTCCATGAAAACATCCAGACAGCACCATGAAGCCATCACCCGGCTCCAACTCTGCGTAAAAGGTTTGTTCCTCGCGAGGCGGACCGGCCGCATAGTCCCAGAGGTGCGATCCGGGGATGAACCGGGTGGCACCGTTCCGCCGGGTGGTTTTCTTGCCAGCGACGAAAAAGCCTATGCCTGCGTCACGGCCGATCTCGTGCGTTGCGGCTGCCGGGTGGTAGACATGGTGGATCGCGTCGTCTCTGTGTAAGGCTTGGTCGCGAGCGCCGGGTCCTATGCTGAATACGATCGTGTTATTCAATTGCGGGCGCGAGACAGAAGGTTCGTTCTTCTCGCCAATCTAACGAAGTGTCAGCTGTGTCGTTCAGTAGCCCAGGGCAGCCATCAAACGGGCGTGCGGTGCGCCATGCTCACCCAATTCCAATGCAAATGACTGCTCAACAGAGCATCTGTGACCCCTTTCCAGAGGGGGTGTCCCACAATACGTTCCGCAAATGTCCTGGACTTGGTCACCATGCCGAAAGCTCGACGAGTCTCTTTCGGGAAGAATTCGCCTGCGCGGGGAGAGGAGGATTATCAGCCATGATCTTCCAACGTTGACCTGGTCAGCGTGTTGAGTGCTGGCCGCTCGGGGGGCACCCTTCTGAAGAGATAAAGACCGGTCCGCACTTACCCTCGCCACCACCTTCCCCCCAGGCATTATCTTGCTCCAACCAAGGTCTCGTGTCTTTCTCGAGACTAGCAATCTCGTCGGCATTCAACAATCCACGAATTACCACACCGCCAGCCACACGGATGGCGGCCACCAGTTCTTCAACCGAGCAGCTTGCCCCATCGAAGGACTTCACCTCGGGCACTGGCGAGGATGGACCTTTCAGATCTCCAGCATGAGTCGATCCGTTGGTCCTCGTTGGTGTGGAGAAGGATTTTGGAATGATGACGGGGATGTCGACCGCGGAGGGCGCCATTTTGACGACGACGATGACGAAGGAAAATCAACGACGTGAAGGAGCCTGAAATATGCGTCAAGGGTGGCACCGCCTCTGCCTGGCGATATAGCTGTACTCGTGCTCTAGCCAAGCCTTCAAATACATATACATTCAGGCAACGAACGAGATCGGGGGTGACAACAACCCAAGCAGGTGAGTTACCCAATCCCACTGACCGGCTCTTCCATCTCACCTACCTGATACGTACAATTTATCGGTCGGAAGAGTCCCCTGCCACATTCTGGTATGCCGAGGTGCGCCGGAAATCTCAGCACTTGCCAGATGTACATCACACCCCAGATGCTCCGAACGGGGCCGCTCAACTAGGAAAGAGAGCTCTTATCGGTGCCCTCCCATGTTCAGCATGGATGCGGGGCATGTCGAAGCCAAGTGAGAGTCTTTTGGGCTGCTCACCTTAGACATCGGCCCAAAGAGGAAAGAGAGACTTTCGATCTTGTTTGGTGGATGTGTCCCTCGGCCGAACGTCGCGGAGATGCGATCGACAGCGCACAACGCCATGGTAATTCAGTTTACACTGTGTGAGTCTCAAGTCGCACATTCCTAGGCTCTATTTCCCAGTCAAGCGGGATGAGCGCAAAGGTATCACGGCTACTCTGCTGGGTCTACTCTACTTCCTCCCCATTGCCTTCTCAACCGCCTCCAGGGCAGCCATGACCTTCTCGTCCATATACCTCCTCCCGACGATACAACAGCTGACAGGAGCACCGATCCACTTCTCCGGCTCGTACAGGTCGTAGTTGTACTTATCCTGCGCGTTCATCGGCACATAGCCTTCCTCCTTCTTATCCTTCTCCACGTCCACAAACGTGACCGGAAACACCGCGGCCGGGTAATCGAGTAAGTTCCATTGGCTGGTGTACGGCCAGTATCTTGCCGTGTCGTGCAAGGGCGCCGCACCAGGCGTGGCAGGACAGATGATCACATCGACCTCTCGTCCCGAGTCGGCGGTCTTGCTCCAGTGTGCGGCGTATTCCTCGCGGTAAGTGTCCCGTTCCACGCACAGTTCCCAGTACTCGTGCATCGTGCGGTTCTTGACATTGGGTTGCTCCTCGGTAATGAACTTCGTCAAGGGGAGGATGGGCTCGCCCGCTTCCTTCAGTGGAGCAAGGAGCATCTCCCCGCCGTCGGGGAAATACAGGCCGGAGACGATCTCCCAGGCTTTGTCGTGCTTGTAGGGTTTCCAGTCGACGACTTCCATGCCTGCTGCTCTGCACGCTTCGGCGACGATGCTCAAGGCTCGGATCATGGGCGGATGGGGCTTGACCACCCCGTCGGACCATTCAATGGCCACTTTCAGGGGCTTGGTGAACTTTTCCGGTGTCCATGGCTTGACCGTGAGTGACGGGTCCCATCGCCAGGGTTCCGTGTCCAAGATGATCTTCATGAACAGGTTGATGGTCTCGCGGCTTTGCGTCAGTGGACCGAAGGTCGCGAGGACAGAGTCTTTGCCGTCCATGGTGTGCCGCATGCCTTTGAGCGGGATGCGTTTACAGGTGGGCTTGAAGCCATAGACACCGCAATTGCTTGCCGGCGCTCGGACGCTGCCGCCAATATCGCCCCCGAGACCCTGCTCATTGTTAGCAACACCCTACAGCCGGGGAACTTTCACAGCACAACGCAGAAAGGTGGAGATATAGACTTACCCAGACGCTGCCGCGAAATCCTACAAGCGCACCCTCTCCGCCACTACTTCCACCGCAGGTCAAATTGCGATTCCACGGATTGACAGTCCTACCGTAGATGTTGTTGTCGCACTCTAGCGCCATGAGCGTCTGAGGACCCGTCGTGCGGACGTAGTAGACGCAGCCCGCCTTCCACAGGTGATCGTTTATCGGGTTTGGATCAGCAGGCATGCCAATCCACGCCACATATGAAGCATGGGTTGTCTTTCCATCCATGTTATGGTGCTCTTTAACCTGCATCGGCACGTCAGAAGCTAGTACCGCCTGCTCGAAGGGAATCCATGGACTTACCGAGATCGGTAACCCATGCAGCGGGCCGATGGGCTCTGGCAGCGAGTCGAGATACCTCGCCCTCTCAATTGCTTCGTCCCACATCAACTCGGTAACACAATTGACCTGTAGATGGGCCACGCTCAGTACTTGAGAGCGCATGGGCTCATTGAGCCGATGCTGGCTGGACCGGGCTGGGCTGGGCTTACCGCATATTGAGCCAACGCAGCTCTCCGCAAAAAAGCCCGTGTCAACTCTTCCGAGGTGAGCTTCTTCGTCCGCAGCATCTCAAGGAGCTCGATGGCATCATAGTTCTGCGTGAGCTCATACTCGCGAGGGGTGAGATACTTCTTTGGCAAGTCCTGAGAAGAAAGGGGCAGAGGGTCAGGAAGAGATTCGAAAGGCGGATCGACTTTCTTCAGCGTCTCATCGCGATAGTCTCGTGCGCCCTTGGCCTTTTCGACCCATGTTTCTTTGGAGATCATTGTTGCTGCTGCTGAGCGAGCGATTGGTGAGAGTCGAGGAGTCCGATTGTGTCTAGAAAGAGCAGCCAGCAGATTTATCGCAGTGTGAGGAAGAGGCAGGCTCAAGACTCTTACGGCTCGCCTCCTGTACCATGAGCCTAGTCTTTCTAACTTTGAAGCCCTCTATCCAAGAAGTGGAGGGTGTGATCCTCCACACACGCATGCATGTGGCCCATTGTTGTTAGACTTCGTGAGACGTGCTCTTGCGCGTCCCAGCCGTCGCGTAGACCAATCTGGGCGTTGAGATGAGCAGCTCGTGCATATGTGAACCGAGGTCTAGATAGACAACAGACGCGGAGCAGCGCGGCCGGGAGATTCCCGCCTCGATATCTCGAGTGTCCTATCAGCACATGCGGGCGGAGTGCTCGGCGAAGGGGAGACCTATCTCCAGGGCTGGGGAGATGGTGGTCCCAATGTCGATCCCACCGCTTGGTAAGACGCGACAGCCTGGATAGGAAAGAGAGATAGAGAGCCGAAGGGACGCAGAAGTGTTGCAAGGCCCAGCTTGTATCGCAGCCAAGTGGGTGACAAGATACCATTGGCATCGACGCAAAACCCTACTGGTGCTGGTGCTTCGCGTGCTATCACACTTCGATGCCTTCGACGCTTCCAACTGCATCTCATTCCTGCTTGTGCGCAGCGACGATCACCCGGCCTGCAGCAAGACGGCATCACACACCCGGTGGCGCACATCAGCGGCGCGCACGGTCTGGCAATGCAGACAAGATACTGGAGACGCCCGAGCATCCGAACGAGGTCGATAAGAAGAACAGCCCATTCCAACTGTCGCTATTGGCTGTGATGGAGATAATGCAGCCTTATACCCCTGTCCTCGAAGCCTTCCGGCTATGAATGTGGTACAAGGTACAGTACCCTCTGCTGTCGCACGACCCGCGAGAATCAGAAGAATCGACGGCGTATAAGATGGAGTGACCGGCTGCTCGTCTGGCTGGCTTCCGGCGTCCTTAACCCCAGTCGTCGTGGCAGCATCGTTCTTCTGGCTCGTCTTCTCCCGACTGTTCTCGTCACAACTACAAGCCATGAGTTTCTTGTACGAGCCTTCCTTCGGGAAGGGCAAGCTCCGGCTCAACCGACCCATCAACCAGAACTTCGTTGTCGGCGGGTGAGACTCGGTACTCCAACCTGTTGCGAAAGCACGTTGACCGGTGTCAGGATCTTGTTCTGTCTGCCAGGTATCTACCTCGCGCTGACCGGGCTCGGTGCGGGAGGTGGACGTCCCTCTTCCCAGACAGTCGCGTCCACCACCAATGCCGTCCTCTATGGCTTGTTCTGCCTGTTCGGCTGGATAGGAGGTGCCATCCTCAACCTGGTTGGGCCAAAGCTGACCATGGCATTCGGCGCCCTCGGATATCCTCTCTACGTCGGCGGGCTCTGGTACTTCGACCGACAGGGTCATGCTTGGTTTCCCTATTTCGCTGGAGCGCTGCTGGGCGTGACTGCTGGCTGCTTGTGGACGGCCGCCGGGTTCGTGCAGTTCGCCTACGCAGAAGAAGACCAGAAAGCCCTGTTCATCACGTGGCAATGGGTGTTCACATCGTTTGGTGGCACGATTGGGAGCCTCATCGCCTTTGGAGTCAACTACCATCAGACCGAGTCGACGGGCGTTTCCAACGCCGTCTACACCGTCTTGTGAGTTGGCCGCACGACGTGCCCCGTCCAAAGCAGAGACTGCCTACTGACCTGCAGCCTAGCATCGTCATAATGTGTCTGGCCATCGTGATATCTCTCCTCTTCATCATCTCCCCGAAGAAGGTGGTCCGGGACGATGGCACGCACATTGCCATCTTCACGCAGCCACGAGTCATGGAGGAGATCAAAGGCCTCATCATCTGGTTCACGGATTACAAGATCCTCGCGCTCATCCCGGGCATCTTCGTGGCCGAGATGAACCTCGTAAGTCTGAGAGCCTCTCCACGCAAGCCCAGCCGCACACTAATCTACCGTTACAGGCCCTCCTATCCAGCATCAACGCGTATTACTTCAACCTGCGCACCCGCTCGCTGAACAACGTGCTCTTCCAGTTCATCATGATGCCCTGCCCCCTACTCCTCGCCTACATCATGGACACGAGCTACATCAAATCGCGGCGCGTTCGAGGCATGATCGGCGCCCTCATCGTGGGCACCATCTGCCTGGCCACCAACGCGGGCCTCGCCGCCTGGATCACGAAGAACGACGTCAACCGCCAGAAGAACACTCCGCCGGGGGTCGACTGGAGCGACAGTGCCTTTGGCGCCGGGTTCGTCCTGTACCTCCTGTCCGGTAAGTTCCACAACGCGTCCTCTGGGCGGGTTACGTCCCCCGCAACCCTGATCTGCGCACATCTGACGCACGTTTTGACACACCAGGCATCATCTACGCGACGTATCAGATCGTCGTGCAATGGACGCTGGGCGCCCTCTCCAACGACCCCGTGCAATGCTCGCGCCTGGCCGGGCTGTTCAAGGGCACCACCGCGCTGGGCATGTGCATCTCGTTCGTCCTCGACAGCAAGGACGTGTCCTACATCGACCAGCTGATCGTGCAGTTCACGCTCTACGCCGTCGGGCTCGTCTTCCTGCTGGGCATCATCTGGTTCTGCGTCAAGGACACGAATTATTTCCTCGAGGACAACGTCATTGTGCCGCACCGCTGGGAGGAGCGCGCGCGCATCGAGGGTCTCGTCGCCGACGAGCAGATCGAGAGGGAACACCAGAAGGAGATGCTCGCGCAGAGGGGGTCTATTGTCGACGAGAAGACTCTCCCTTCGTTGGATAAGGGGGTTACCGCGTAGATTTGAGAGAGAGAGAGAGAGAGAGAGAGAGAGACAGAGAGAGGGCAATGCATAGACTGATCCATCCTCCATCCACCCTATGGCGTGCGTGAAGCACAAAGGCCACCAAGTAGGAAATGACAAGGTTAAACATCATCCTGTCATGCAGGGGACAATCCGAAGAAGTTCGAGCGATTGAATACAATCGGTAAATCAAAATCGGTGCGCTGACGAGCAACCCATCCGTTGTAGCATTTGGTGTTGAGAAATCCCATCGTGCTCTGTAGTGAGACAACGCCACGCCACAATTCTACCACCGTGGAGTACTGTAGTGTAGTGCGTATATTGTATGTATAGCACCCTTCACTCAGGTAAAATGCCCACCGAGCCTTCCTCGAGGATCATACCGCCTCTTGACGGCCTTCAGCTTTGCATAATTCGCACCATAGATCTGCGTGCCGGAGAGATGATACCCGTACGTTAGCCACCACAATAGAAACTAGACGGGAAATAGTGGCAAGGACACACAGGGCATAGGACACGGATTGTAGAACGTAGAAAGGCATAAAACTCGCGATGTAGAACGACCACGCGGATACGCTGACTTACCGCCTCGACATCATTAAACGACTCGATAAAACTAGGGAGATAATCTGCTGGAGTGTGCACGGTGTGGATCTCAAAGGGGGCGCTGGCCAGTGCGGCGATTGACAAGGCGTCTGATTGTGACTGTGACTGCGATTGCGATTGCGATCGCCTTCTCGAATCCGAGTGTGACTCAGACTCGGTCGAGTTCGAGCCCGGGAACGACCCAGTTCCGAGCTGGAGGATATGTCTGTTGGGTCTGCGCGGCCACGCTGTCGCTTCGGGGGAGGCGGTCGATGAGAAGGCGGGCTTATAAGCGCAGAGCAGAACAGCCGATCGTTAGCGTCAGCTCGTGGACTGAGGCTCCGTCGTCGATGTGGATGTGATCATGATGTTGTAGAAGGTGTCAAAGCATCACTTACAGGCTGCATGATTTCCAGGAGCACGAACGCTCCGGCGCTTTGTCGCGGATCTTGTTCCAGGAGATTATTAAACCAGGCCCACGCTCGCAGGATAAGAGAGTCGGTCAGATGGGTGTGCGGGATCGTGGGCGCGGACATCCAGCTGTTGGTCACGCCCATGGCGACGCGGAGGTTGTCTGGATATCGCGGGACGGAGGCTGTTAGCTCAGGACGACGGCAGTGGTGCATGCACAATCAGGGGGCACAGAACAGGGCCCAATGTCCTCATGAGTATATGTGCATGTCGGCTTACCTTGCTGCTGGTTCGCCTCCACGTAGGTCATGGTCCGAGTATTGTCTATTATGCCAGGCATGTCCAACGCCCAACCGAACCCGTCGGCACTCCGCCCGTGAGCTTCTCCGTTCGCATCGTACACCACGATCATGATGCCCGGCTTGGGATCTTGACCCGAGAGAGCCGCATGGGCAAGGTCCAGACAGAAGAGATGCATGGCTATCTTTGGATCTTGTGTTCTGCGAGTGAATGCCGCGACCGCTCTCGCGAGTTCGGGCAGTGCCTCGTTCGGGATGATGATGTTGCCCGAGTAGATGTCATTGGTGTATTTGTGGATCTTGAGTTTGAACGCCGTGACGACTTGGCAGGTCAGAACAGAAGTGAGCAGAAGAAGAGGAGGAGAGCGCACTGACCGCCAAAACCACCTCCTCCACCGCGGAGCGCCCAGAGTAAGTCTGGCTCTTGTGATGCCCACAGGACACGACCATCCATCGTGACAACCTGCGCGTCTAGCATGTTGTGCGGGTCAGAAGTCATTCCGAACTCAGATGATGCCCAGGAAATGCCGCCGGATACCACGCTGCCGCCGACACCGACGAAGGTGCACCGTGCGCTAAGTGCTGTGGGATGTGAGTCTCTACCCGGTCAAAAGGGGAGGACGACTACCTCACCCGCATACCCAGGTGCTGCTTCCTCAAGCTTCTCGTCGACCTCTCCCCAAGTCTGGCCGGCGCCGACGGTGATGGTCTCTGCAGCGGGATCGTGTTCGAATCCGTCAAACGCACCAAGACTGATGAGCACGTCTTTGGCGGAACTTGAGCCAACCCCGCCGGATCGCACGGCGAAGTCCAGCTCCGTGTCATTAAGATATGCAAGAGCGCGAGCTAATTGCTCCACTGATTGGGGACGGAGCAGCAGCTTCGGGCTCAGATGCCTTTGAGCGGCCCATGTTTTGGTCTCCTCTTTGTAACGCTGCGAGTCAGGCTGGATGATTTCGTGGTCATCGAGGAACGAAGACAGATCGGCGGTCCAGGGGGAAGACTTTGCCATGACGGGACACCAGAAGAAATCGTCGAGGATCCAGATACTGGCTTCGCAGTAGATGTGGACATCCCTCTGGAAGGATGGGGCTTTATAGATCGAGCTTGGCTAGGTCCATACCTCGCAAGGATATACCTGTCTGGATACACCCACCTGCCTCGTCCGACCGCGCCTTACAATGTTGCAATCACCGAGGACTCGGCGCGGTGCTAGACACATCGGTGGAGCGCTCAAACGACATCGACTGTCCAATGTGTAGCTGTGGGAAAAGAAGTTGGGGGTCTTCTGTACGCAGCAAAGCCGATGGCGTAAGGCTGGTGTGTAAGGCCACCACAGCCAGAAATGGCAAAATGATTACAATCTGTCGCTCCACTGCACAGCAACGTCATTAGCATATGTCGACGGTCCAACTGAGTGGCACTTTCATCGCAGAGAAGTATAGCAGTTGTTGAGTACTGTCATGCAGGCCGTAGGGGTGAGAATGGGAGAGCTGTTGACCCGGGCATTCCTCAACGTGCCAATGAATACGGAGTAATGTATAGAGACCTTTAGGCCCAGATCAACTTGATGTGCTTGTCTTCTTGACTTCAGCCATTCGTGCCCGACAACCATTTCTGTGTAGTGCTAGTGCTGTGGCCGTCTCGCTTGTTCAAGGAAAATATTGCCGGCTATAAACGGACCAATCTGGCCGACGACGACGTCCACTCCAGCAGCATCGCATGCCTCAGAGAAGCCAGGGGAGCTGCTACATCCGGCTACTTAATTACCAAAGAACTCTGGATGCAGCAGTGCGCTAGATCCAATCTCACCGATCTGACAAGAGCCTGCTCAGGCATCGAGACAGCGTTTATTGCTGCCCGTGAGCGGAAAGAAGTCATTGTAAAACCACAAGGCCCTCGATTGCGCTATTCTGACACCCAGTTTGAGCATTAGGAACGGTTGATCTCCGTAGCATGGTTCAGGGCAAAGTTGTTGTCTGGCTGACATCGACTGGACAAGTAATGTCCGAGAAAAAGAAGCCGCTGTCAGCCGGTGTTACATAGTCTGCGACTTGCTCGATGTAGCAAGCACAAGCGTAAACTGTCGGAATGTCAAGACCGTATCCGACAGAGATTGCGCCGACGTTCTGGTCTATGCAGTATTGCCGACAGACTGCGTATTCGATCTCGGTGGGGGATTGATAATAACCGACAACCTCCGCCGCAGAGTTAAAACCTTCTAAAGCACAAGTTGACGGTGCGGGCGGAGTTGTGGTTGTAGTGGTTGTGGCACTTGTCGTAGTGGAGGCTGTCGTTGCTATGGTCGTTGAAGTTGTCACCGTTGGGGTTGTCGTGGTAGAGATTGAGGTTGTCGTGGTCGAGGTAGTGGTGCTTGTGGGAGTCGTGGTCGAAGTAGTGGTGCTCGGGCTTGTGGTGGTTGAGGATATCGCGGTGGAGGTGCTAGTGCTTGTCGTTGAGGCTGTCGTGCTTGGGGAGCTCGTGCTTGAGCTGGTGGTGTCCGGGGTAGTCGTTGTCGCAGTCGTAGCCGTGGTTGTTGTAATTGGACTTGTCTTCGTCGAAGTTGTTGCCGTGGTGTGTAAGGCGGAGGTGGTCGTCGACGAGGAGGAGATTACGGTGGCGCTAATGGAAGATGTGCTACTTTCACCCCATCGCGTTGTAGTATCGGCAAGTGTCGTCCAACTTCTGGTGGGGCCCGACACCGTAGTGGAGGTTGTGCTTTTGTCCGGACGACCAGTTGATGAGACCGACGAGGTATCGAACCATGAGTGAGAAGAATTCGGAGGATGCGGGAATGAAGGACGTGAGGAGCTGCCAGTGTACTCTGGACCCCGAGCACTGCTCGCAGGGCGGGTGTTTCTCGAGCTCGGTGTTTGTGACGCCCTTCCTGTTGATGAGGGAGTTGTAGGTTTGACAGCGCTCGACTTTATAGTGTTGTCCCAGTCCAACCATGGCTGCTGATGAACCGCACCTGACGCAGTTGCTATCCTTGAAGTTTGCCGATCTCCGCTTGACCAACCCTCAACATCAGGACCTATTCGACTTGGGCGATAACCGGAGTTTCCTCTCGGCGCCCCTAACGTAGGGACCGTTGTGGTCGACACAGAAGGTGCCTGAGTAGCCCAGTCCGACCAGGGTTCCGCGCCATCCAAGAATGCAGCAGTAGGAATCCAGACAGGTGCACCATAGCTCTCTGTCACGAAAACTTCGCAAACAGGATCGTCTCGACGCTCGAGCTCGCTAGCAACGACTCCAAAAAGGGCTGTTAAAGCACACATCCAAGGATGGATATGCATCTTGTCAATCAAATGAGCGGACCGAGCTTGGGAGCTCCAAAAGGAACGACAAAGGTCAATGGATTGCAGGAGCGCAGCAACGAAGAACCCAAACAAACATGGAAAGGAAGGAGGTTTAAAGTCATCCTCGGCGCATTGGGCCCGCCGACGTTGAAAGACGTTTTCATCGCCGCTGTACGTAGTAGGTCTCTTTGACCCTGACAGCTCTGACTCGAGGCAAATGACGACTTCTGGTGGCGTGCCCTTCCATGACTACCCCTTGTGATGAGCTGAAATAGCCTCCATACAGAAGACAGGAAAGTCTGGATAAGCGAAATACCGTAGAGGTGGATGCAACGATGTGCTCGCAGCTCATCTCGCATCGTAGTGGCAAGTAGCGGCCAACGGTTTGAGACCGGCACCCAGCTAAGCACCAATAGTTCTTTTAGCCATGGTGTCTGGGCGTCCCTCAGCCCCTGACACTCGATGTAGCAATGCTTACCTAAGGGGAGCATGAGTACGAATAGGACTGCGAAGCCGCAGGTCAGATCTGCTGTGTCAGAAGTCAGGCTGGACTGATCGGTGCTCGGGTTCAGAATGTAGAACGAACATACTCCGTACAGAGTGCAGAGAGTCGTTATTCATTATTCATGTGTGGGTGAATAGGGCTTGGCGAAGGGATGCCTAGTCCACGTGATTAGCAGCACGTGATCCAGCTCACGACTAACTGGATACAGAATAGACTGTGGGCATGTCGCTGGCTATTCTCGGCACGATATCCGCCCCGTTTGATTGGCTGTTGGACGGGTCTAGATTCCCCTCACGACTCTTATCATCCTTCCGACGTTTGTTATCGATGTCCCTCGATTCATATGACTTCGAGCAACGACGTGGGACCCTCACCATGACAATAACCACCTGCACAGGGCAGCTCAGCTATGCGTGTAAGTCAACTGACTGGGAGAAGGACCAATTCGCTGGGATGGGCCAAGAGCGACTGCCATACGTGCGCCTCCCACAATCGGTATTGTGATCGCCGACGACCTCGATGCAGTCCCTGTCTGGCGGAGGGGGCGGTGTGCAAGGGTTACGTGCAGCAACTCAACTGGGAGAGAGGCGCCCTGCGCGTCAGCAAAAAGCGAGCAAAAGCATATCCGGAGAGCACGGAATCTAGGCTGGTTTGTACAGCTCCGCTTCCCACGCCTGCCACTTTCACCTTTGTCGACCCAAGTGAATCACAGAAGCGACCGAGGCGGAGATCAAGAACGAATTCAAAGTCCAGCCTCTCGAACTTTTCTGATCCCAGCCCAAGGAATACTGTGGCCACCGAGTCTATGCATGGAGACCCTTCTATCTCTTCCGCCTCCCCGTGCTCGAATTGGTCAGTATCGACGCCGAGCACACCGCGATTTAGTGTCGGCAGCCAGGAGATGGAGCCTGTTCTCTATCCTCAGATCGGCCAACAGCCAGGCGACGTCGGATATGCGCTGGCATTTTTCCACTCATGCTTTGCCTACACCACACTTACCTTTGATGTCAATGTCAACCCCTGGCGGGCCTGCCTGCCTTCGATTCACGAAGACTTGCCATGTGTCCGTTACGCCGCAGTCGCTCTTGCTCAGCGCCAGCAAGCACATTTCAGCGGTAAGCCTGAGGGAGTCTCAATTCTGAAGTTGAAAGCGAAGGCCCTGTCGCTCTTCGCGTCGAACTTGAATCATCTCTCCTTTGAATGCGGCCTGAGCACTGCCCTCCTTCTTATAGCTCTCGACTACGCTGAGACCGGTGTCTCGAATTGGACTGTTCACCTTCGAGGCGCGTGCCGCATCCTCGAAAGCCACGGCGGCATTCGCTTGGCTGAGTCCCGGCCCAACCTCAGGGTCCAGATCGCCATGCTCATCTGGTACGACGTGAACGCGGCACTCATCTCACGTCGTGGACCCGTTTTCCCCAGGACTTACCTTGATGCGCTCATGGCATGGCAAGCCGACGACGAATGGAGTATCCTTGCTCTTAATGGTCTCCCAGACGGCATGTTCCTCGACATGTACGACGTCGCCGTTGCGGCGTCACAGCTCGACACCATCGACTCATGCACTGTGGAGTCTCTTCGAGCAAAGTTCCTAAAGGCGCAGATCAAGGAAGGTGCAGGAAAATGCCAAGTCCTGATGTCCCAGGTTTGGAGACTGGGTCTTCTGTTGTATTGCACTCGAGTCTTCTCGCGGGCATCCACGCCTTCGTCTGTCGTACTTCAGGTGATCAAAGATGAAGAAGACTTTGATACAGGCTTGGACTTGGATATCCCTGCAGACACGCAGCTGGAAGCCCATGCGCTCGCAACCCAGATTCTCGACCTGGTGTCTACGATTCCGCCGGACAGCAATTTCCAAAAGCAGTGTCTGATGCCCATCATCCTCGCCGGCTGTGAAATGTCGGCAACAGATTCGGCACACCGAAAGATTGCTGTCGAATACTCAGAGCGCTGGAAGCAGAAGACCGGGATCTGGATATTTGACTCGGGCCTAGAATTCTTGCGGACTGTCTGGGCGAGGAACGATGTCGAGATTGCCAGTGGTGTCGAAGATGGATGCAGGGCCTTGCAGGTGCCGTGGACGGAGGTTTTCTTACCAAGTGCAGGTCATGGATTTCTCTTCGGATGATGTTGAGAAGCAAAGTCCCGTCTGATCTCACCCCAGCTCGCAGTATTGTTATCACTTTATGCCAGAGCAGTGGTAGAGGTCGGAGAAGTGAGAGCGTCAGACGAGACGAGACGGTCCACCTATTCTATCACTCCGCACTCGTCGAGCCGCTCGCAGTGGAGGCAGTAAGACAGACCTCGTCTTCATACTCGCGGTTACGACCTATGGCATCAGGGACACCTAGAGGTCCGCATGAGGCGTCCTCACAAGTAGAACGACTCAACCATCACCTGAGGGATATCTGCGCGAACCTGCCGCCCAGAAGAGCGATCCGTTACCAGTTGTCGAGAGTACCCTGCTGCCAGCGACATCAAACACGAATCTGCCAGTCATCGGCGAAACCAAGGGAGCCTACTGCAGTGCATACACCAGCACTACGATGAACACGGGAGCAGCCTGCGCGGCGTGAGGAGTGCATACTGACTGAAGATTCATTCTCCAGCCGGTCGATCCATACGCACAGAGAGCAAGAGCAAGAAGAAGCGCGGGAGGAAGATCGTGCATGCGAGAAAGGCTCTTGAAAGTTGACCAGTTCAATTCGACAAGTTCAAACCAGCCTTGCGGAAGATATCCATAGCCCAGGTACCGTAGACTACCAGTACCTATATCGGGACCAGGACCAGGACCAGGACCAGTATCAGTACCAATACAAGTACCAACACGTACATACATGGGTACTGTAATTTCGCGCGTCAAGTCAAGAGAAGGTGCCCAGCAGAGTATGCAAGTGTACCTGCGTCTAACAGAGTTGACAGCTGTCAAACCCAAGCCCCCTAGATTGCGAGACTGAAGTCTATGTCATATCATGTCATAATCATGCCTGGTATGGTAGTGAGTGACACTTTGTGACACTTCACACACGCGCGAGCGCGAGCGCGACCATGAACGCGGATACGAACGCGAATGCAACTTGCAACTGCAATCCCACGCCTTGTCATTGTACTCGTACGGAGTAGGATTATGATATAGCATGTAGCTAGCATGTGCCCCATGGATGCCCCATGCAAACCGTCCGCATCATGATCCCCATCAACGAGCCGACGAACCGACTTATGATCCATGGATTGTATTGATTCGCCGAGTAAAGTGAAGTGATTTGACCTGACCTGATACGACTTGATCTCTCCGGGCCCATCTGCGAGGTTCACAAGCGGGGCCCCCCCCCCCCCCCCCAGCACGGCCGGATCTTGTTGTTCCAATCTTGTCTGACACGTTCCAATATTGCGAGACAGCATCATACTACGTAACTGAAGCTGGCACGCACGCACGCACGCCCGATATGCACGATATGCACGATATGTACTCCATACTCCCTCCGGAGCATGCATGCCGTGGCTGGCGTTCATGCATGCATGTCTCAGGTTCGACCGGGCCGCCGCCAGGAAGCGTCATCGAGCGTTTGGACATACTGGGTCCATACCAGCACGACACCATCCGATCCCGTCCATCCATCATCCCCCATCCCCATCAAGTCAAAATCAAGGTATGAGGATGGAGTGGTTGTAAACTGATTGATTGATTGATCGATCGTTAAATCATGAATGCTGTCATTGTACTCCGTACATCATCCATCATGGCACGTCTGGGGGTGGGTGTACTCGTATACTGGGGCCACCTCCCTTGGATTGAAACATCCGCTTACGAGTACTCCGTATACGTACCCACAACATCCTCGCACAAGTAACGAGTAGCTCATACTCCGTACTCCGTACTCCGTACAAATATTGCGCATCCGATGCAAGTGCGGGACAGCCTTGGGAGGGTGGGAGGCTGCTATTTTTGATTCAAGTGCCCTGGCCTTCGCCATCCGCCTGCGCCCGTCGAATGCTTGACTCACGCACGCCGTCCATCCATCCATCCATCCACTATTACTGGTGTACCTCGTACTCGTACATACCGTGTACTACCACTATCCCGCCCACCATCTCCACCCGAGGGCCAGTATCCTCGTACCGCACGACTACTATCTAGTGTTAGACCAACGTGTGCCTGGGCGGGTTAGAGTCTTGATGGAAATCGGCCCCCAGCAGGAGCAGGAGAACGCACGAGTCAAGGATGGTTAATCGGATCGCCAACGCCATTGCAGATACGAGCTACGGAGGGCTGGGACTGCCAGCCATCCATACACTCTTAGGCTACAGTAGGTACAATATCTCTGCGTCATGATTCATGATTCAGCTGCCAGTCGTGCCGGGATTCGATGATGGCAGACGATGAGCCCCTCGGGCGGGCCTTACATCCATTACGTCCATACATACCTACATCCATACATACAGTCGACGCCGGAAGCTGTGCTGCACTGCACTGCACTGCAGTGTAGTGTGAAAATGTCCGTCCACTCTCCGGGCACGGACAAGGGCCGGAGGGATCGTGGCAACGTGAGCGAAGTCTTCGTGGGGCCGATCTCATTTCACGAGGAAACACAGCAGGTGGTGGCGCACGGCAAGGACAAGGTTCGGCCTTGTAGAAGGTCTGTTTCGATGATCGGCAGATTGCCGTGGCCTCGTCAATCCATTCCAGTCGAGTTTCCCAGGTCGTCACACTTGATGAGCAGTGCCAGACGATGGAATGAACGACAGCCGTGTGCAACCACGTGTCTGAGCGACTGCTGGTTGGGGAACAACGTGTGCGGACTTCGCACACGCCCTGCGACGTCGCAACAAAACGAGACAAGAGCAGACCTCTCATCGGGAGCCACAGCTGGTTGAAGAATAAACTATGAATGACATTTGCATGGGTGAGAATAGCCCATGAGTGACTAGAGCTAGGAAACAATAAAACAATCCTTTCAAGCACACAATCATTCCAGCTCTTCCCGAGTCCCGTATTCCACACGAACGCCCCTTCATGTCCAACCACCCGCTGAACAAGTGCAATCCCCCCCGCAAGCAAGAGACAATGAAGCAATCCCCAACACTCATGAAAATGCTCAGCAATGCCAGATGCCATGTTCGAAGACCGTCCCAGTATGTACGTCGATTGCACAAGGGTAACAAAGAGCCCGCGCGTGAAGCAAAGCAAAGTCTATCAATGTTCAACAAGGTCCCACTCCCCATCTCTATCAGGTATCTTTTGGTAGCGTGACAAACTGCTCGGCGAGAATTTTTGGTCATGTCGTTCAAGTCCACAGTGGACACATCTGATGTCTTCCTAAGACAAAATGGCTTCGCGGATGAAGGAGCCAACGCCCTTAGCCTGCGAAAATGTTAGCAGAAACTCTAGACCAATAGGCGAAGGGTAACTTACCACTGGGGGTTTCATCATGGTGAAGTGGTTTCCGACCACTGTAACCATCTTGCAAACTTCGGCGCCCAACAACTTGTCCCATCCGTTGGGACCGAAGTCGGTTCGGTTCTCCAAGAGCCACTTCATGCTCTTGGGATCGTCGGCCTGTGGTGGTGGTCTTGGATCGCCGGGCTTGCCACAGACACCTTCGGTTGCCCAGATGAGCAGAGTCGGAGGGGCCTTGAAGTCATGCGTGGTCTTCAGCTCCGGACGGTACGCAGTCAATGCTTTGATGCTGTACTCGAAGTGAGGCAACAGCCAGTTGGGGGTCTTGCCGGTGCCGGTACCCAACAGGCCTATTTCGTCAAAGAAATGGTGGAGACGAGCAGGGAGGGGCTCGAGTCTGATCGGGCACGGTGAGTCGATGAGGATCAACTTCTCAACCGAGTAGTTTCGGTCGGGGTGCTGCTTCTGCAGGTCGGCCAGCTGCCTGGTGACTTCATAGGCAACAACACCACCGGCAGACCAACCGCCAAGGATGTACGGGCCAACCGGTTGTCGGCGCATGACCTCTTCGAGATACAGCTTGGACACACCTTCAATGCCGCAGGTGTAGCTCGTGGGGTCCTTCATGAAAGGGCAGTTGAGGCCGTAGACTGCGAGGTTCTTGCTGTCAATGGCAGGGATGGAGACGTAAGAAGTGGCTGATCCGGAGCCGTCAGGGAACAAGAATAGGTTCTTGGTGGCTGTCTTCGGGTTGCCCTGTAGCAGGACAGATGTGGCAGGGGGCATTTGGACGACGACCTCCACGGGAGGGGCAGCTGGGGCGACGACGACTTGGGCGACGACTTCGTTCTTCTGAGCGGTGGGAGGTGCCGCCTTCGGCTTGTCCAAGCCAAGAGCTTTACGAAGGTGACCGAGCGACGGGTTGTCGGCCAAGATTGTTGGGTCCAAGTCGATCTCGTGGTCCTCACGAAGCTTACCGAGGACAGTAAGGGCCATGAGAGAGTCCATGCCGAGATTGCTAAGATCAGTGGTCTCGGTGATTTCTTCCAGGTCCATCTCCATCTCCTGTGCGATGACCTGGCGAATGGTCTCGATCATGTCACCCCCCGCAGCAGCCGAAGGCGCTTGGGCGACGGCTTCCACCGCCGCAGATTTGGCAGGGCCCTGTGTCTTGGCCGGGAAGTCCTCAGTGTCAGGCGTGGTAATGCCAGACTCGACAGTTTCGTCGTCACTTTCTGAGCCCGAGTCGGTTGACTCGACGGAGCTGGCATCGCCGGCAGAGACCGGCTCTGGAGCTGACATACCGCCAAGGTGCTTGCGAAGAGCACCGACAGAGGAATAGTCCGTGAAGAGTGTGCTTTCCACCTCGAGATCAAGATCCTCACGGAACTTGCCAGAGATGGTCAGGGACATCAAGCTGTCGACACCCATATCGGCCCACTGGATGTCGTCGTTGAGTTCAGACTGGTCAACGTCGATTTCCTTGGCGATGATGTCGAATGCACGGGTAACGAGGCTGCCGGACGAAGGAGCAGGCTTGGGAGGTGCGGGAGCTTTCATCTTGGGTGCCTTGACTGCCTTCTTGGCCTTGACCTTGGGAGCCGGCAATTCGATCTGGGGAGCGGCCTGGACAGGAGTTGATGCCTTGACTGGGGCAGGCGCTGGAGCCGAAGCAGCCGCTTTCGCACCAGCAGGCTTGGGCTTAGGCATCATCACGTCCATCAGCTTGC